GCAGGCCAATATAAGGGTCAGCACAGAACTAACGAAGAAGCAGGCCAATATAAGGGTCAGCACAGAAGAAGCAGGCCAATATAAGGGTCAGCACAGAAGAAGCAGGCCAATATAAGGGTCAGCACAGAAGAAGCAGACCAATATAAGGGTCAGCACAGAAGAAGCAGGCCAATATATAGGTCAGCACAGAAGAAGCAGGCCAATATATAGGTCAGCACAGAAGAAGCAGGCCAATATAAGGGTCAGCACAGAAGAAGCAGGCCAATATAAGGGCCAGCACAGAAGAAGCAGGCCAATATAAGGGTCAGCACAGAAGAAGCAGGCCAATATAAGGGCCTGCACAGAAGAAGCAGGCCAATATAAGGGCCTGCACAGAAGAAGCAGGCCAATATAAGGGCCAGCACAGAACTAAAGAAGAAGCAGGCCAATATAAGGGTCAGCACAGAAGAAGCAGGCCAATATATAGGTCAGCACAGAAGAAGCAGGCCAATATAAGGGTCAGCACAGAAGAAGCAGGCCAATATAAGGGCGAGCACAGAAGAAGCAGGCCAATATAAGGGTCAGCACAGAAGAAGCAGACCAATATAAGGGTCAGCACAGAAGAAGCAGACCAATATAAGGGTCAGCACAGAAGAAGCAGGCCAATATAAGGGTCAGCACAGAAGAAGCAGGCCAATATAAGGGTCAGGACAGAAGAAGCAGGCCAATATAAGGGTCAGCACAGAAGAAGCAGACCAATATAAGGGTCAGCACAGAAGAAGCAGACCAATATAAGGGCCAGCACAGAAGAAGCAGGCCAATATAAGGGTCAGCACAGAAGAAGCAGGCCAATATAAGGGTCAGCACAGAAGAAGCAGGCCAATATAAGGGTCAGCACAGAAGAAGCAGGCCAATATAAGGGTCAGCACAGAAGAAGCAGGCCAATATAAGGGTCAGCACAGAAGAAGCAGGCCAATATAAGGGTCAGCACAGAAGAAGCAGGCCAATATAAGGGTCAGCACAGAAGAAGCAGGCCAATATAAGGGTCAGCACAGAATAAGCAGGCCAATATAAGGGTCAGCACAGAAGAAGCAGGCCAATATAAGGGTCAGCACAGAAGAAGCAGGCCAATATAAGGGTCAGCACAGAAGAAGCAGGCCAATATAAGGGTCAGCACAGAAGAAGCAGGCCAATATAAGGGTCAGCACAGAAGAAGCAGGCCAATATAAGGGCCAGCACAAAAGAAGCAGGCCAATATAAGGGTCAGCACAGAAGAAGCAGACCAATATAAGGGTCAGCACAGAAGAAGCAGGCCAATATATAGGTCAGCACAGAAGAAGCAGGCCAATATATAGGTCAGCACAGAAGAAGCAGGCCAATATAAGGGTCAGCACAGAAGAAGCAGGCCAATATAAGGGCCAGCACAGAAGAAGCAGGCCAATATAAGGGTCAGCACAGAAGAAGCAGGCCAATATAAGGGCCTGCACAGAAGAAGCAGGCCAATATAAGGGCCTGCACAGAAGAAGCAGGCCAATATAAGGGCCAGCACAGAACTAAAGAAGAAGCAGGCCAATATAAGGGTCAGCACAGAAGAAGCAGGCCAATATATAGGTCAGCACAGAAGAAGCAGGCCAATATAAGGGTCAGCACAGAAGAAGCAGGCCAATATAAGGGCGAGCACAGAAGAAGCAGGCCAATATAAGGGTCAGCACAGAAGAAGCAGACCAATATAAGGGTCAGCACAGAAGAAGCAGACCAATATAAGGGTCAGCACAGAAGAAGCAGGCCAATATAAGGGTCAGCACAGAAGAAGCAGGCCAATATAAGGGTCAGGACAGAAGAAGCAGGCCAATATAAGGGTCAGCACAGAAGAAGCAGACCAATATAAGGGTCAGCACAGAAGAAGCAGACCAATATAAGGGCCAGCACAGAAGAAGCAGGCCAATATAAGGGTCAGCACAGAAGAAGCAGGCCAATATAAGGGTCAGCACAGAAGAAGCAGGCCAATATAAGGGTCAGCACAGAAGAAGCAGGCCAATATAAGGGTCAGCACAGAAGAAGCAGGCCAATATAAGGGTCAGCACAGAAGAAGCAGGCCAATATAAGGGTCAGCACAGAAGAAGCAGGCCAATATAAGGGTCAGCACAGAAGAAGCAGGCCAATATAAGGGTCAGCACAGAATAAGCAGGCCAATATAAGGGTCAGCACAGAAGAAGCAGGCCAATATAAGGGTCAGCACAGAAGAAGCAGGCCAATATAAGGGTCAGCACAGAAGAAGCAGGCCAATATAAGGGTCAGCACAGAAGAAGCAGGCCAATATAAGGGTCAGCACAGAAGAAGCAGGCCAATATAAGGGCCAGCACAAAAGAAGCAGGCCAATATAAGGGTCAGCACAGAAGAAGCAGACCAATATAAGGGTCAGCACAGAAGAAGCAGGCCAATATAAGGGTCAGCACAGAAGGTGCAGACCAATATAAGGGTCAGCACAGAAGAAGCAGGCCAATATAAGGGTCAGCACAGAAGAAGCAGACCAATATAAGGGCCTGCACAGAAGAAGCAGGCCAATATAAGGGTCAGCACAGAAGAAGCAGGCCAATATAAGGGCCAGCACAGAAGAAGCAGGCCAATATAAGGGCCAGCACAGAACTACAGAAGAAGCAGGCCAATATAAGGGTCAGCACAGAACTAACGAAGAAGCAGGCCAATATAAGGGTCAGCACAGAAGAAGCAGGCCAATATAAGGGTCAGCACAGAAGAAGCAGGCCAATATAAGGGTCAGCACAGAAGAAGCAGACCAATATAAGGGTCAGCACAGAAGAAGCAGACCAATATAAGGGTCAGCACAGAAGAAGCAGGCCAATATATTGGTCAGCACAGAAGAAGCAGGCCAATATAAGGGTCAGCACAGAAGAAGCAGGCCAATATAAGGGCCAGCACAGAAGAAGCAGGCCAATATAAGGGACAGCACAGAAGAAGCAGACCAATATAAGGGCCTGCACAGAAGAAGCAGGCCAATATAAGGGCCTGCACAGAAGAAGCAGGCCAATATAAGGGCCAGCACAGAACTAAAGAAGAAGCAGGCCAATATATAGGTCAGCACAGAAGAAGCAGGCCGATATAAGGGTCAGCACAGAAGAAGCAGGCCAATATAAGGGTCAGCACAGAAGAAGCAGGCCAATATAAGGGTCAGCACAGAAGAAGCAGACCAATATAAGGGTCAGCACAGAAGAAGCAGGCCAATATAAGGGTCAGCACAGAAGAAGCAGGCCAATATAAGGGTCAGCACAGAAGAAGCAGGCCAATATAAGGGTCAGCACAGAAGAAGCAGGCCAATATAAGGGTCAGCACAGAAGAAGCAGACCAATATAAGGGTCAGCACAGAAGAAGCAGGCCAATATAAGGGTCAGCACAGAAGAAGCAGGCCAATATAAGGGTCAGCACTGAAGAAGCAGGCCAATATAAGGGTCAGCACAGAAGAAGCAGGCCAATATAAGGGTCAGCACAGAAGAAGCAGACCAATATAAGGGTCAGCACAGAAGAAGCAGGCCAATATAAGGGTCAGCACAGAAGAAGCAGGCCAATATAAGGGCCAGCACAGAAGAAGCAGGCCAATATAAGGGTCAGCACAGAAGAAGCAGGCCAATATAAGGGTCAGCACAGAAGAAGCAGACCAATATAAGGGCCTGCACAGAAGAAGCAGGCCAATATAAGGGTCAGCACAGAAGAAGCAGGCCAATATAAGGGTCAGCACAGAAGAAGCAGGCCAATATAAGGGTCAGCACAGAAGAAGCAGGCCAATATAAGGGTCAGTACAGAAGAAGCAGGCCAATATAAGGGTCAGCACGCTTGTATTTGTAACCTGATACGTAGAGAACAAGATATTCAGGTGTGTTTGCAGGGTAGCCAGGAATAACCATGATAACAAGCAGTCTCTGATAAGAGACAAGGTGTGACTGCTTTCTTTACCTTATCACTTCTTTGGAGCAGCCTGACGCTTTCTTTTATTCTTACTGTTGTTATTATCTGTGTTGTGTTCTTGTGTAAGATCAGGTATGTTACTAAATAATGTAGCGACACTTGTGGTATTACACGTAGCGACACTTGTGATGTTACACTTACATGTAGCGACACTTGTGGTATTACATGTAGCGACACTTGTGATATTACATGTAGCGACACTTGTGATGTTACATGTAGCGACACTTGTGATGTTACACTTACATGTAGCGACACTTGTGATATTACATGTAGCGACACTTGTGATGTTACATGTAGCGACACTTGTGATATTACGTGTAGCGACACTTGTGATATTACATGTAGCGACACTTGTGATATTACATGTAGCGACACTTGTGATGTTACATGTAGCGACACTTGTGATGTTACATGTAGCGACACTTGTGATGTTACATGTAGCGACACTTGTGATGTTACATGTAGCGACACTTATGATGTTACATACTACACTGTCAATGTTTATCTCTAATCCTTACTTTTATACGTTGTCCGCAATATAATTGTAGTCCATCACTATCATTGAGAGTCCCGCTCCGAATCTTCGTATCTGCAATCTGTTAAGTGAACAGAAGTTGTTTAGTGCGAGGGTTTGACTAAAGTTATAGTTATTTCTACTTCACAATCTCCTAATATGAGAGGGAATAACTAGCAATTGAAATTTGTCGGACACTTTCTTTCACTTGTAACTTTTTTAGTTTTACTGTCCAATTAGCTCAAAACTGAATACTATATACTTAATAGACGTCACTTTTAGTAATTCTTTACGTTTATGTCGAGTTATGCCAGTTAAAACGCAGGTACTTAATACTACTTGATGTAGTTCTACTAGTTTGGACAGTTTATTGCTCTTTATCTTATACTTGTTCGATCCAGTGCCGGTCGATTCTATTGAATAATGTCGTTGCTTTCAACTTAATTGTTTACCATCAATCTTCACTTATGATATGTATATTGAAAGCTGCCATATGTCGGTATTACTTTCTATAACGATACTTTTTTAGCCCCAGTGAGGGAGATTGTTGGTGAGAAATGGACAAGTTCGTAGCGCTGAGAGAAAACAACGTCACCTCCCGTAACAGAGAGGTTCTTTAAATATTTTATTGAATTTAATTCAACTTATAGGTCTTAATTATAAGATAGGTCTATTTTTATATTAATATAGGTCTTAATTATTATTCCTGACAAGTTATATCCAGCTTAGTAGTTTTTCGAAATCCGAATGTACGCTTCGGACAAACGAATGACCACGAAAGATATTTAATTAAGTATATTAAGTATATTAAGTATATTAAGTATATTAAGTATATTAAGTATATTAAGTATATTAAGTATATTAAGTATATTAAGTATATTAAGTATATTAAGTATATTAAGTATATTAAGTGCATTAAGTATATTAAGTGTATTAAGTATTAGTGCTTTTCATTCAAAGAAGTAAAACCGAATCTTTTATGTCATGTTTCCAGGGTTTGGACTGGAATTGCCAGCTTAAAGAACTTCCATCGCATTACATTACATAATTTTCTCAATAAATGTAATAGATTTGTAGTGTTGTAATTAGTTTAAAACTTAAGTGTATTAAGTGTATTAAGTGTATTAAGTGTATTAAGTGTATTAAGTATATTAAGTATATTAAGTATATTAAGTATATTAAGTATATTAGTATATTAAGTCAATAATCTAATGGAGGGTTTAACAGGTCTACAACGATGAAGTGTATGAAAATATGGAGAACATAAGTGAAAGATTTACTAACGCGTGGGCTGCAGACTCGGAAATTCCTAGTGACTACGGAACGTGAGTAAAGCTGATTTTACATAACCGATAAATATTAAACAGTTTCCGAGTTATTAACTGATGCAAGATTACTAAAAATAAGTAAAAAGTTATTGATTATTATAGATCAAACGGGAAGCAAAAGATACGGTTGCACAATCCTTACATGAATACATTTGTCTTGTATCAATATTAGAACTCTCCGCAGTCTGGACATGGAACTGGATGCTGATGAGATGATGTTTGAGGCTAGTGAGCCTGAACCTAGTGTTTACGAGCAAATGACATTTGACCCTGATCCTCAACTCTTAGCTAAAGGTAGAGACATATTAATATATTATTTATAATTAGCTTTTGTAAAACCATTCAGCTCGGTTCTTCATGTCTCATAGAGCCAGCACTCATGCTCTCCTCTTGTGGTTCTTCATTTAGTTTGTTCATTTACTTCAAAATAAGTCGTGTTCAGATATTTGTATTTTGTAATGTTCTTCATGAAAAAAAAGCAACCTCATATCTTAACTGAAGGTAGTACAGAAATTGATAAGCAATCGAAAAGTTCCATGAAATCACCGGACGAGTTTGCACTTCCCAGGCACAGACCAAACTCTAAACTGTCATAAGAATTAGTAGAAGAACATCTGCTTACCAGTATATAGGCCCTTATATTCCTATAGCATCAAGCATGTACTTTCTTTCAATCGATCAAATTACGCACACTTCATAATGTGAAGGTTATTCGGAATGGAGTTCTGTCACTTGATTCTTAGCTCTGTTAAATAGATTTCTGAATGTTTTGCTAGTAGTTCTGTCAAGATTATGTTTTCTGTTTGATATGTAAAGTTTTATGATCACGTGATATCTTTACCACAAATAGATTTATATTTTACTTGAAACTAAAATGTTGATATTCAATATTATTTACAATATTGCCGTTTAAAAATTCATCTTTAGTCTTTATCACACAATTGTTCGTAGAATCACCCAGTGGGAAGGTAAAGAGTCGCGAGATGAACACTGGGCGACCCCTCTCTCTAGATCTGTCCGGGAGTCCACCTCCTCTTTATCGTAGTCTTATGAACAGGTAACTGTCCGGGAGCCCACCTCCTCTTTATCGTAGTTTTATGAACAAGTAACTGTCCGGGAGTCCACCTCCTCTTTATCGTAGTCTTATGAACAGGTAACTGTCCGGGAGCCCCCCTCCTCTTTATCGTAGTCTTATGAACAGGTAACTGTCCGGGAGCCCCCCTCCTCTTTATCGTAGTCTTATGAACAGGTAACTGTCCGGGAGCCCACCTCCTCTTTATCGTAGTCTTGTGAACAGGTAACTGTCCGGGAGCCCACCTCCTCTTTATCGTAGTCTTATGAACAGGTAACTGTCCGGGAGCCCCCCTCCTCTTTATCGTAGTCTTATGAACAGGTAACTGTCCGGGAGCCCCCCTCCTCTTTATCGTAGTCTTATGAACAGGTAACTGTCCGGGAGCCCACCTCCTCTTTATCGTAGTCTTATGAACAGGTAACTGTCCGGGAGCCCCCCTCCTCTTTATCTTAGTCTTGTGAACAGGTAACTGTCCGGGAGCCCACCTCCTGTTTATCGTAGTCTTATGAACAGGTAACTAATTGCTCGGTAACTAATTGTTCAGTTTTGTTTATACATTTTCAAGAACGTTATATAGTTATTTAGTCAATCAGAATTTCGTTATTTTTGAGGAGAGTTTTAACCTTGTCCGGAAGCCCAGTAAGGGCAGTTTCTTAACTCTATTTCTTGACCCTTTGACACATTTTATCAGTCCACTTTAGGTTTATCTTTCCTTATCTTTCATTTTAACGGGGGTGTAGAAATTTGTCCATGTTTCAGTATTCATTACCGGCCTTCAGGCCCTGACTTTCCTGCTGTCTTACTGCAGTGCTGGTCGCGTGACCTCGGACACGCTACACGTGATCCCACGTGACCAGTAGCGCGGTGAGCGGGCAGCGGGGATGCGGCAGTTGTGTTTCGAAGAGTTTTAGTTTGGAAGTGATTTTCGGGTGATTTTATTTTTAAGGACTTAAAGTTTTGTGCGACTAATTTAAGTTCGATTATACTTGGTTAATGGTTATTTAAGTCGTTTTCTTTTGTTCCTTTGTTCATCCTGCTCCTAGTAGTAACATTTGCTAAACAAGTGTTGCTATCAGTTGATTTAGCCTATAGCAAGTCAACCGCAGGGCCATTAGAACGTAGCGTAAAGCTAGTTGGGTGGTTAGCCTATCGCTCCCACTCCCAGATATCATTTCACGTTTCTACTAGCCGCTTTCCTCTTTTGACCTCTACTCCTCGGCTGATAGGATAGCTTAGATCGTCTAAACTTTACGTTAGCCTCGTTTTATCAGAGAGCTAACAGGGTAACTGTTATAACTAACTAGGATAATTGTTAGGCAGATTAAGTTATTGGAGGATTAACTCCCCAGAGCAGTTAATGTACATTACAGGTTATCACTATCTGGAGAAAGAAAGTCCCGCAATTCGCCCAGATCTTCTTCTCCCGCTCTTCCAGCCTCCCCTTCTGGTTCAGGTTTGTTCTTGTTACAAGGCCCCATTGTTTTAACTTCCATTGTAAATTTGTATATTTAATATCATATCGACTATCGATCTGAGATTACACAAACACTAACAACATCTTATCATCTTAATCAGAGATAATTATACCAGAGACAGATCAAAACGTCCGGAATCCCCTTTATACTCCCTCTCCTAGTGGAACCCCTTGTGGGTATGTTACCTAGACGCCCCATGCTGTTCCATTAACGTAGAGAGGAACTTTTGGTAGTATTACCATGACACTGTTACCATGGTTACAGTACCATGAGGCTTTTAACTTTAAGGCATAGTTATTAGTTATTGCTCAGTCCGGTAACACGACATCTGTCCGACAGCACTATTTTTTCTCATGTTTTTTGTTTGTTTCAGGAGTCCAGCAGTGTCAAGTTACTTGACAGAGAGACTTCAAGAAGAGGACATATACGATTCTCCCGCTAGTTTCAAAGATAGGGTAACTGCTTTACAGAATCTATTATTTGCTACATGTACCGTTAGATTACTCTAGTGTCACCATTACATGGTAATGTTAGATCATTCCAGTTTTATAATGGTAGTATGGTACTGTTAGATCACTCTAGTGATCACTCTCTTTAATATTTCAGCCCCCAGTGCTACCTCCAAAAAAGAAGAAATCGTTGAGTTTAAAGCTCAGACATAGTGTGAATTTGGAGAGATCTGGTTCCGACAGTTCACTGACTAATACAAGATCTAGGTTTTCTAGCCAGGGTATCGCATCTCCTTCAAGACATCCTAGTGAAAGTATCGCATCTCCTTCTAGACATCCTAGTGAAAGTATCGCATCTCCTTCTAGACATCCTAGTGAAAGTATCGCATCTCCTTCTAGACATCCTAGTGAAAGTATCGCATCTCCTTCAAGACATGACTCCTCTCAAAGCTTTGGGTCAAGAAACTCGAGCCAAGCTGCTGGGTCAAGAAATTCAAGTACTAATGCTGATTCAAGACATTCCAGTCAAAACATGGTAAAAACTTAAAATATTCCAACACTGAAAATCTTATCGGCCCTAATATGGCAAATTGCAAATTTTTTGGGCCGCTCTCAATTTGGGCTGCTCACTATGAGACGCTTACCTTGTTCGATCCTAAATCTATGTACAAATTCTCAGTTTTAATAATACTTAGGTCGAAAGGTCTTTCTTATGTCCGATTGTTTAGTTCCAAGAGCGTTTATTTTTTGTTTAATTCAGCTTAAGAGGACGGTTTATCACCCTTTGATTAAGCCAAATTGAAATTTGTGAACAGCCCTTATTTGAGCAATTTTCCCTTCTCATCATAATTTCGGTACAGTTTAGTGGACTCATATTGGGGCAGAAGATATTGAACATTATTATGATTAAAAGGCACCAGCTCGTTACAATAACTAAAACTTTGTACAACAGGTAATAGGAACTACAGGGGAAGAGTTTGTGGGCTCTCTCATTGAGAAGAGTAAGAAAAGCAACAAACTAGAAAAACGGCTCAGCAGAAAAGGTAACCATTATACTTAACAATATAAATTTAGCTATATCGCTAGTTGTCGCCATCCAGCGCTAGTTGTCGCTGGCTAGCGCCATTTAATGCTGGCCAGCATTAAACTAGCGCAAGCCAGCGCTAGTTGTCGCCATCCAGCGCTAGTTGTCGCGTTTACACTATCGCAAAAGAACCGATGATAGTTCGTCCTTCTCATCATAATATCATGATGACAACTTAAAAATCAATTCAGAAAGTTTTGTGACCGTACTACTGTGATGTTAACAGGTAAAAAGAAAGTGCAGGAGGTGGAAGAAGTTGCAAAGAAAAGGAAAGAGGAGGAGGAGGAAGCAGCCGGCCAGAGATCCTCCACACTATCTATAAAGGTAAGATCACTAAATAGTAAAACTGTACCACATATATTATATAGAACAAATACTGCGGCTGTTTCTGCGCCCTGCTTGGTCAATGATACTGATAGCCTAGCTATCTTTTTTCTATATGATTTCAGAACAATCCTTTGATGGTCATCAGAATAATGATCCGGAATCTCAAAATACATTTAATATAGTACCATGTGATGAAAAATCATGCGTTACATGCTTAAACCGCCTTTCCTTCGACAACTTCTACACCAATTGTACTACAAACTCTACTTTCCTCATCGACTTTAATGCATCATGTCAAACGAAAAATTGCATATATACTTGATAAAATGCTTGCACAAAGATTGTTTATATTCATTTATTGCTTGTTTAATTTGTTGTTGTGCTTAATTTATGATTACTTAGTTACTTGTAGTTGTATCTGAGATTCTGTGATTAAATTTATTTTGTTGATTATAATGTTGCGATTGCATAATTTATTGTTAATATATTATATTTCAGTATTTTATAACGCGATGGAAATATTTTAAGCGGGTAATATCCTGTCCAAACTCAGGATACATAACATGAAGACTTTGTTGTAACTTTGTATGAAAAGCTTTAATTAATACCACATAATATGCTATTTCTTCATTGACAAGAAACACAGAAAGGGTATTCTAAAAGAAGGTTTATCAATATGCTGTAATGACTGTAATGTGTCCTAACAATATGTTTTAATATGTTGCAACATGTTGTAATATGTTGTAATATGTTGTAATATCTTAATATGTTGTAATAACTCGCAGGACGACTGGGACGAGATAGACACCATGATGATGGCACTGCAGTGCGACATTGACCTCACCCAGCAAACCATTAGACGCCCCGCTAAATTAAAATATAACTCTACACGAGGTAAGATGTTACCATAGTTACCACTATCAACTGAGAGGTAAGATGTTGCTATCAACTGAGAGGTAAGATGTTACCATAGTTACCACTATCAACTGAGAGGTAAGATGTTGCTATCAACTGAGAGGTAAGATGTTGCTACCAACTGAGAGGTAAGATGTTGCTATCAACTGAGAGGTAAGATGTTGCTATCAACTGAGAGGTAAGATGTTGCTATCAACTGAGAGGTAAGATGTTGCTACCAACTGAGAGGTTAGATGTTGCTATCAACTGAGAGGTAAGATATTGCTACCAACTGAGAGGTAAGATGTTGCTATCAACTGAGAGGTAATATGTTGCTACCAACTGAGAGGTAAGATGTTGCTATCAACTGAGAGGTAAGATGTTATCAACTGAGAGGTAAGATATTGCTATCAACTGAGAGGTAAGATGTTGCTATCAACTGAGAGGTAAGATGTTGCTATCAACTGAGAGGTAAGATGTTATCAACTGAGAGGTAAGATATTGCTATCAACTGAGAGGTAAGATATTGCTATCAACTGAGAGGTAAGATGTTGCTATCAACTGAGAGATAAGATGTTGCTATCAACTGAGAGGTAAGATATTGCTATTAACTGAGAGGTAAGATGTTGCTTTCAACTGAGAGGTAAGATGTTGCTACCAACTGAGAGGTTAGATGTTGCTATCAACTGAGAGGTAAGATATTGCTACCAACTGAGAGGTAAGATGTTGCTATCAACTGAGAGGTAATATGTTGCTACCAACTGAGAGGTAAGATGTTGCTATCAACTGAGAGGTAAGATGTTGCTATCAACTGAGAGGTAAGATATTGCTATCAACTGAGAGGTAAGATGTTGCTATCAACTGAGAGGTAAGATGTTGCTATCAACTGAGAGGTAATATGTTGCTACCAACTGAGAGGTAAGATGTTGCTATCAACTGAGAGGTAAGATGTTGCTATCAACTGAGAGGTAAGATATTGCTATCAACTGAGAGGTAAGATGTTGCTATCAACTGAGAGGTAAGATGTTGCTATCAACTGAGAGGTAAGATGTTGCTACCAACTGAGAGGTAAGATGTTGCTATCAACTGAGAGGTAAGATGTTGCTATCAACTGAGAGGTAAGATGTTGCTATCAACTGAGAGGTAAGATGTTGCTACCAACTGAGAGGTAAGATGTTGCTATCAACTGAGAGGTAAGATGTTGCTATCAACTGAGAGGTAAGATGTTGCTTTCAACTGAGAGGTAAGATGTTGCTATCAACTGAGAGGTAAGATGTTGCTATCAACTGAGAGGTAAGATGTTGCTACCAACTGAGAGGTAAGATGTTGCTACCAACTGAGAGGTAAGATGTTGCTACCAACTGAGAGGTAAGATATTGCTACCAACTGAGAGGTAAGATGTTGCTATCAACTGAGAGGTAAGATGTTGCTACCAACTGAGAGGTAAGATGTTGCTACCAACTGAGAGGTAAGATGTTGCTACCAACTGAGAGGTAAGATGTTGCTATCAACTGAGAGGTAAGATGTTGCTATCAACTGAGAGGTAAGATGTTGCTATCAACTGAGAGGTAAGATGTTGCTATCAACTGAGAGGTAAGATGTTGCTATCAACTGAGAGGTAAGATTTTGCTATCAACTGAGAGGTAAGATGTTGCTACCAACTGAGAGGTAAGATGTTGCTATCAACTGAGAGGTAATATGTTGCTACCAACTGAGAGGTAAGATGTTGCTATCAACTGAGAGGTAATATGTTGCTACCAACTGAGAGGTAAGATGTGCGGTAGACTCCACGGTTATTACTATTAGAATCCTACCCTTCTGGCTTGCCAAGAGGGATTTTTAGATTCAATTCAATGGATTTAAGCAATTAAAGGATCAGCAACTTCTGACGTAATTTCAATAGTTTCTATTTTTGGTGTTTAACGTAATCCAACAATTCTGCAGTGCAATCACGTATAATAAGAGTTATTCATTCCTGAATACCGCTCAGAATTACATGTTACCATAGTTACCACGATCATGAACACCATATTTAGTCGTGGTTGTCACATGTGAATTTCCAAACTTAGTCGTTATGTTTTATTTTTTGCCTCTCCCACAGTATTGGACGCCAGGAACGAATAACGTAATTTACCATTTCAATAGTAAAACTAAAAGAGCTATACGACAACGCCGTGTGTCAATAGTTAAGCTATAATAGGAGTACAGGATAGCGCCCTGTTTCTTAGGTTTTTAATTGTGGAGACTTATCTCGATCTAGGTTGATCGGCTAAACGTCCAGTGATGTTAAGTTCACCAGGGCTTCTCGGAACTACAAGTTTCCTTTCTTATTTATATCTGACTTTGCTGTGTGGTTGATTTTATCAGCATATTCGGATATGCATACTATCAGGTCCCCACTAAAAGAGCGTGTGAAGCCTTTCTGTCACACTCCGTGTTAGGTCACGCTTCAGCGGGGGTAGTGTTGTATTGGCTAGCAGTGTGGCTTGTAGGTATAATACTCCTGAAGTGTGCAGTAGGATCATAATATTACTATATTTACTATATCACAACTTAATACTTTAATAATTAACCTTCATATATTATGCTCATATTATCCTATGTGGTGTGATGATCCAGTTTTCTTTTGTGTCATTTGTGCTGTTGTAAACCGTCTCTCCGTGCCTTGAATATATATTATGGCAAATATTTCCTTTTACTCAGTGCACATTTTTCCTTTTACTCAGTGCACATTTTCCAAGTTTGGTTTGTTTTAGTTGTACCCGGCATCGGTGAGTGGTCATGTTTAGACCTAATTTCGAATTTAACTTCCTGTGTAATAGTTTACCTTGCTCAGCGTATAATGTGTGCTAAATATGGTGATTGGTGAACGTGATGCCCATAAAAGGTTATGATCTCATTCACTCTATTTTTTAAAAGATTTCAAACTCATGTTACATGTAAGGAGGTTGTTTGCTTAAAACTTAGATATTGTTAGCGAGCTAGGATCATTACTAAGTTAATTCTTACTTTTTATTTTCGTTTTTATCCCATCCCTTTTCTTTGTTCTTGTGCAATTCATCTACTTTATTAGCCCTAATTTAGTAATTTGTCCGGCCCTAATTTTTCTGGCTAAGACTTTTTTCCGCCCTTAAGAATTATTTACTTAAGAAGTATTTTATTGGTAATGGTGGTATAAACATATAAATGCTTATATAAATGATCGTACCGTTAACATCGTAAGTTTTAATACCAGGGAACAATATGATAACGCTGTAACAATGTAATTACACTATAAGTATAATAACACCGTTATCGTTTAGTTATTACTTTATTAGTGGAGAAGTTATCTCTATAATTGTGTTGTATATTCCAGTGTTGATCAGCAGGGTTCAATACGAAAGACAGCCCTAATTGATCAGTAACCGTTACAACGTTGCGACCATGTGAAACAACGTAACAAGTGTGTAGACTCAGAACGAGTATCAAATTTAATGAGGCCAAGACAAAACCTTGATGAGTTCGCGCAGTCAAATAGATTTACAATGCTTTTAGAGTTTTAGTTACGTAATGGAATAGTTTCTGAAAACAGTGCCATATTTCCCGCTCCTTGATATCCATACTACTTATTTGTGTTAAATAGATAGCCATATACTCCTTTATAGTAAGTGGTACTAGTAATCAGTAAGTGGTTTGCTGAGAGTCTATAAGTGCAACATTTCATTCTATTTCTTGGATTGCACTAAAGTACTCACGGTTTCCTCCGCATTACTGGAAGTTGTTATTATTTATATTATTTTTCTTTGTAGCTGGTTTTAAATGTAGTGCAACAAATCTTTATTTGGACCATATTTGTTAGAAATTATATATCTGGTTCAACATATATTTTGCAAAACTTTGCAGAAACAGTTTTACAAAGCCTAACGCTATAAATGTTACAGAAGAGTTCCCTTGCATTCCATGAAGTATTAGGTAACAGTACACACTATAGATTATACATACTTGTCCAGGATACACACTATAATGGAAACACACCTTATTGTTAGTACGGGCCTCTATATATAAAGTCCTCGCTTTGTTTACGTAAAAAATGGAAACTTCACATAGTATACCACTATCCACTAGCCACTATTCACTAGCCACTATTCACTAGCCAGTATACACTATACCACTATAGCTACTGTGAACTAGCGTCTAGCCACTGAATATTCAGGAGGTTTTATTCTCCGTTTTCATTTCCCGGTCGTTTTTTGCTGTTATGGGCAGGTCTTCCTTTAAGATTGACGGCGTCGTTTTTACCCTAGCTACACAAAATGCAGCCACCCTAGCAACGCCGAATGTTGTCACTCTAACAACAGGAACAGTTGTTCAATGTGATCTCTATAAAGGTAGGTTATAACACTGCTTACATTTTCTAAAGCCTTATTTCTACGTAATGTTACAGTGTGTTACAGGCTACGTGTAAATCTAACCTGGCTTTGTTAGTGACACTCGTAAAACTGGTAAATTATTTTATTTAGCAAAAATCACGTAGTTTATCTGCTGGATCTTTTTATAATTATTGTCAATATTAGATTATTAGAACATTCTGTCCAGTCAACTAATTTCAAGTTTATTTTATTTCCATTATTTAGTTATTATTTTCCAATATTTGGTGGCTAAATAACAAGTAGTTCTCTCCTCGGAAAATAATGTGTCGTTTCATCCAATCATCTAGGTATGTGTTATCAGACAGTAGCTAGTAATTTACCGTGCTCAATCAGACTATGTAACGTATTCTAGTTGTAACTACGAAGTAAATTGAATGCCACCCGTGCTAAATAAGTTTATTGAAGTGAAACTAATTGGTGTCTTGTGTCCCTTTAGGGGGGTTGGCAGGTCAATTTAGTAGCGTTCTCTTCACTAGTGTAGATCAAGCTGCTCTACTTAGTCATCATTCTCTTCACTAGTGTAGATCAAGCTGCTCTACTTAGTCATCATTCTCTTCACTAGTGTAGATCAAGCTGCTCTACTTAGTCATCATTCTCTTCACTAGTGTAGATCAAGCTGCTCTACTTAGTCATTCTCTTCACTAGTGTAGATCAAGCTGCTCTACTTAGTCATTCTCTTCACTAGTGTAGATCAAGCTGCTCTACTTAGTCATTCTCTTCACTAGTGTAGATCAAGCTGCTCTACTTAGTCATTCTCTTCACTAGATCAAGCAGCTATACTAAGTCATTCTCTTCACTAGATCAAGCTGCTCTACTTAGTCATTCTCTTCACTAGATCAAGCTGCTCTACTTAGTCATTCTCTTCACTAGTGTAGATCAAGCTGCTCTATTTAGTAGTGTTCTCTTCACTAGTGTAGATCAAGCAGCTCTACTTATTCATTCTCTTCACTAGTGTAGATCAAGCTGCTCTACTTAGTCATTCTCTTCACTAGATCAAGCTGCTCTACTTAATCATTCTCTTCACTAGTGTAGATCAAGCTGCTCTACTTAGTCATTCTCTTCACTAGATCAAGCTGTTCTACTTAGTCATTCTCTTCACTAGATCAAGCTGCTCTACTTAGTCATTCTCTTCACTAGATCAAGCTGCTCTACTTAGTCATTCTCTTCACTAGATCAAGCTGCTCTACTTAGTCATTCTCTTCACTAGTGTAGATCAAGCTGCTCTACTTAGTCATTCTCTTCACTAGATCAAGCTGCTCTACTTAGTCATTCTCTTCACTAGATCAAGCTGCTCTACTTAGTCATTCTCTTCCCTAGTGTAGATCAAGCTGCTCTACTTAGTCATTCTCTTCACTAGATCAAGCTGCTCTACTTAGTCATTCTCTTCACTAGTGTAGATCAAGCTGCTCTACTTAGTCATTCTCTTCACTAGATCAAGCTGCTCTACTTAATCATTCTCTTCACTAGTGTAGATCAAGCTGCTCTACTTAGTCATTCTCTTCACTAGATCAAGCTGCTCTACTTAATCATTCTCTTCACTAGATCAAGCTGCTCTACTTAGTCATTCTCTTCCCTAGTGTAGATCAAGCTGCTCTACTTAGTCATTCTCTTCACTAGATCAAGCTGCTCTACTTAATCATTCTCTTCACTAGTGTAGATCAAGCTGCTCTACTTAGTCATTCTTAACTGCACGTTTACTTATAGAAAATTAGGTTTATTAATGTTTTGAAAAGCTCCACCTTCAGTGTTGTAAAATTCTTATGCCATTCCTTTGGAGCATTTTTACCGCTAACAGTGCTGCACTCCGCTGCCGATGATTTTCCGGCCACGCCGCCGCCGCCGTTTTCAAACGCTAAAATGATGCTGCAATGGGACAGCAAACTGCATAGTACTGGACTACATTAGCTGGCAGCTTTTCTTGATCTGTCGTTTAAAAAATTGAGGTCGTTGGGAGGACTATTTAAAGACACAGCCCGTTAATTTTACAGTTTGTCCTAGCAATTTCGCACGATATGCGGATAGATGTTTGTAAACTTCTTCCTCAAGCGATACAGACAGTTGTAATCGACCAGAGCTCTGATACAGAGAGAGTGTGGTCATCCTCTGGACTCATTATATCTTCCCGACGTTCAAGTATTGGAAGTAATAATTTTAAGCATCAGTTATATGTGCACGAGAATTGGGATTTGGTAAAGTTGTGCATCGAACGTTAGCTTCAGATATGTTTCTGAGTGTTTTTACCAGTAGTTAATTACCATGGTAATTGGTAGTTTATCAGTATTGTTTATCAGTAGATAGATTGTTTATCAGTTATTCTGATAGTTGATATTATTATGTTTATTTATTTATAAAATTTTTAAAAGCTCCGAACGCTTCTACTGTTATATGGCTATTTCAGTTGTCTCAATCGTTTGAATATGCAACAGATACATTTTAGTGTTTGAGTATATTTAAAGTCACTATTGTGACGGTACATTAGAACTATAAGCCATTTTCTTCTGTGAAAATGAACTCACAGATATTACGAGCCTCGTGTCCAAATTCAAAACTGTTAAAAATTGCTCTCCACATGGCATTATTCTAGAGGAAAATTTAATCTGCGAAATCACGTGACCTCACGCCGATTACACTACCACCGCCGACGATTTTAACCACGCCGCTGCCGTTTTGAAAATAAACTGCGGCGTGCAGCACTGACCGCTAAATATATTTTCTCGTCGACCGAACGTTCAACTGGACGTGAAATTGTATAAATCGGACTTTTCTTTCTTTCAACATACAGTTTATTATAATAAATATTATCGTTTGGACTTTGGAAGACATGTTATATCTAGTAGATAACATGTGTATATCTAGTAACCATGGCTACGTTACTGGACATCCTAGCGGATATTTCCATGACAGATGAACATCTTTTTGAAGGTAGTAATGAGGGGGGGGCAAAGTCAGTTTACATACGTTGGCCTTTGTAGTTTGTAGCTCAGTCACTGAGAGCCCGATCGAGATAATTCTTTTTAGCATGACTTACTATCACCACTCATTCGAGGAATATATCAAATCAAAGAATACTAATGTTGATTTTTTTTCGAATGCTACTAAAGTAAGTAGTATAAATAGCTCTATTTCAGACAAGTCGTTGGAGGAGTGGCTAGTGAAACTAGAGCTACCGGAGATTCAGACTATGTTAGAGTTGAACGGGTGGGACCACATTGACTTTATACGACAGGTTATCTCTAAAGAAGACCTCGCTGCCATGGGGATAAACAACGATAAAGTTAAGAGGTGCGATTTTAATCCTGTAGTAACTAGTAACTAGTAACTAGTAACTAGTAACTAATAACTAATAACTAGTAACTAGTAACTACAGTGTAGTTTCGGTATGATTGTTCCTTTACATCGTCTAGTCCAACTTCTGTTCGGTCCATCGTCTTAGATCATGAATATTATCGATACTAAAAGTTATCTTTAACTTCTTCAGATCATGATAATTAATAATATCGATACTTAAACTTATTTGCAATAACTTTTTCAGAAAGTTATTTAAGTCGGTAGAGGAAGATTTAGAAAACTTTCAGCACGGCTCAGTCCCTGAAACGGTGGAGGAGTGGTTAACCTCAATCCACCTCAGCAAATACCTCAACAAGTTTATCAGCTGTAGAATGGGTTAGTTATCTTTTTTAGATTTTTGTTTTCTTTCCACTACACTTTTTTAATTAATTAATTAGACGATATTCCCTGGCAGTTCAGTAAATACACTTTTCAATACGTTGTTGCTCGCTTATCAGTTACTTATCATTACGTTGATAAAACTTGCTTGTTTAACCGGTGCCGTGGTTGTGTGATGTATAAATCTGAGAAATACGTGGCTTATAAGCTTGATGAAGTGAGAGATGATGGAGCTGAATGGATCCGGAAAACTCTCCAGCTTGTTAAATCAAATCATGTTAACGCGTGTGTAGCTCAGGCTTTCACTGGTAGAAGAGAAATCACTAGGGAAGTCATGGCTCAGAAACTCAATTCTGCGTTACAAATTATGTATAGGCAATCATTGTACATTGATCAGATGGAGAATTATAACCAGAAATTGCACTCCGATGTAATTGACAGCCAGGGGACACTAATTGTATTGCAGAAAGAGCTGCTAGCTGCCAAAGACGAGCAGCTTGATTACCTGAAAACTGAGGTTGTAGCATCAGTTGAGAATACTGTGAAATCCGAGTTAAAGACATACAGCGCCGCGGTAAAGGAATCAAAAACCTCAACAGCAGGTCCTTTGTTGGATTCGGATAGAAACATCTTGAAGAATGTCATTAAGGATGTTGTAGCAGAAGGAGACCGAAGTCGGAATCTGATGTTGTTTGGTCTTAAAGAAGAGAAAGGTGAGCTGTTATGTGACAAGGTCGGTCAAGTGTTGTTGGAACTTGGTGAAAAGCCAAAAATAGAAGCTAGCAGAATTGGTTTGATCAAATCCAAGGATAAGAAACAGGTGGCTGATAGACCTGTTAAGGTGACTTTGACGAGCTCTACAATTGTGCAGCAGATTTTGACTAGAGCAAGGCATCTCCGTAGCTCGGAGCATTTCGGTAAAGTCTTCATCAGTCCGGATAGGTCTCCAGAGGAACGTGCCGAACAGCAAAAGCTTGTTTTAGAACTCAAGAAGAGATCGAACGACGAGCCAGATAAGAGACACTTCATTAAAGGAGGCAAAGTGTGTAGTGTGGACAAAACTGTTGTTTGAAATGTGTTAAGACAGAGTTTGTTGGATTATGGATTCGTGGCTCGCTAAGATTTTAATTTTTTGATAAGCTTCTAAATCATATTCGTCTTTCAACACAAGACTATCAGTCTTCTAGAATTTTGTTTTGATTTGTGTATTAAGCTCTGAAGTATTTAGTCTTACTTCCAGGTCCATAATTTTGTGCAGTGTATATTTTTAGAGTTATTATGGTTTTATATTAGCAGATTTAGGTATATAACTATTCTATATAATTGTATGTATAAATACTTGAGTAAACATTAACCAGTAAACAAAGCTGGTTCCCAATCAATCAAATCATCTTATTAAGGCCCTTTTCCGTCCAACTAAGAACAGAGGTTCTGGAGTGATACCCCCTCTTAACCTGACTATTCAGTAACTAACCCTAAATGTAACTCTCATTTACTGTTTCCAGGTTCAGTGAGCAGGGTTCTGGAGATTTGGGAGGTAGAGTTGACGAGTATCCTTACTATTGAGCCTATTGGGCACAGGAAGAGAATAATGAGGTCTATCAGAGACCTAAGGACACTGCAGAGTTCTTTTGACGAGGCCGAGAAACGGGTTTACTATTACTACAATCATACCATTACTACTATAATATTACTATAATACTACTAAGTTATAATAATATTCAGTATCATGAAATATCTTTCTCCGAATGTTCAAACAACAAAAATAGTTCAACTACTGTGGGACTTTGTTTAAATTGGAACCGACAGTTTGCTCCTTCATAATACAGTTTGCTAAGCTTGTAACCTGATCCCAGAAGAAGGATAGGAAGCCTAAGACAGCAGCTGAAGAGAAGTGGTTACACTCCAAAGAGGAGATGTTACGAGGGGTGGACTATCCTGTGAGATACTTTGGTTCTGCTATAGTAACGGGCCCTGAGAGCACCAAACAGTCAGGACTTATCTGTGAACAACAACAGGTACTTAACTTAATTACAGCAGCAATATTTAGTATGTGAACAACAACAGGTACTTAACTTAATTACAGCAGTAATATTTAGTATGTGAACAACAACAGGTACTTAACTTAATTACAGCAGCAATATTTAGTATGTGAACAACAACAGGTACTTAACTTAATTACAGCAGCAATATTTAGTATGTGAACAACAACAGGTACTTAACTTAATTACAGCAGCAATATTTAGTATGTGAACAACAACAGGTACTTAACTTAATTACAGCAGCAATATTTAGTATGTGAACAACAACAGGTACTTAACTTAATTACAGCAGCAATATTTAGTATGTGAACAACAACAGGTACTTAACTTAATTACAGCAGCAATATTTAGTATGTGAACAACAACAGGTACTTAACTTAATGACAGCAGCAATATTTAGTAAGTGAACAACAACAGGTACTTAACTTAATTACAGCAGCAATATTTAGTATGTGAACAACAACAAGTACTTAACTTAATTACAGCAGCAATATTTAGTATGTGAACAACAACAGGTACTTAACTTAATTACAGCAGCAATATTTAGTATGTGAACAACAACAAGTACTTAACTTAATTACAGCAGCAATATTTAGTATGTGAACAACAACAGGTACTTAACTTAATTACAGCAGCAATATTTAGTATGTGAACAACAACAGGTACTTAACTTAATTACAGCAGCAATATTTAGTATGTGAACAACAACAGGTACTTAACTTAATTACAGCAGCAATATTTAGTATGTGAACAACAACAGGTACTTAACTTAATTACAGCAGCAATATTTAGTATATGAACAACAACAGGTACTTAACTTAATTACAGCAGCAATATTTAGTATGTGAACAACAACAGGTACTTAACTTAATTACAGCAGCAATATTTAGTGTGTGAACAACAACAGGTACTTAACTTAATTACAGCAGCAATATTTAGTATGTGAACAACAACAGGTACTTAACTTAATTACAGCAGCAATATTTAGTATGTGAACAACAACAGGTACTTAACTTAATTACAGCAGCAATATTTAGTATGTGAACAACAACAGGTACTTAACTTAATTACAGCAGCAATATTTAGTATGTGAACAACAACAGGTACTTAACTTAATTACAGCAGCAATATTTAGTATGTGAACAACAACAGGTACTTAACCTAATTACAGCAGCAATATTTAGTATGTGAACAACAACAGGTACTTAACTTAGTTACAGCAGCAATATTTAGTATGTGAACAACAACAGGTACTTAACTTAATTACAGCAGCAATATTTAGTATGTGAACAACAACAGGTACTTAACTTAATTACAGCAGCAATATTTAGTATGTGAACAACAACAGGTACTTAACTTAATTACAGCAGCAATATTTAGTATGTGAACAACAACAGGTACTTAACTTAATTACAGCAGCAATATTTAGTATGTGAACAACAACAGGTACTTAACTTAATTACAGCAGCAATATTTAGTATGTGAACAACAACAGGTACTTAACTTAATTACAGCAGCAATATTTAGTATGTGAACAACAACAGGTACTTAACTTAATTACAGCAGCAATATTTAGTATGTGAACAACAACAGGTACTTAACTTAATTACAGCAGCAATATTTAGTATGTGAACAACAACAGGTACTTAACTTAATTACAGCAGCAATATTTAGTATGTGAACAACAACAGGTACTTAACTTAATTACAGCAGCAATATTTAGTATGTGAACAACAACAGGTACTTAACTTAATTATAGCAGCAATATTTAGTATGTGAACAACAACAGGTACTTAACTTAATTACAGCAGCAATATTTAGTATGTGAACAACAACAGGTACTTAACTTAATTACAGCAGCAATATTTAGTATGTGAACAACAACAGGTACTTAACTTAATTACAGCAGCAATATTTAGTATGTGAACAACAACAGGTACTTAACTTAATTACAGCAGCAATATTTAGTATGTGAACAACAACAGGTACTTAACTTAATTACAGCAGCAATATTTAGTATGTGAACAACAACAGGTACTTAACTTAATTACAGCAGCAATATTTAGTATGTGAACAACAACAGGTACTTAACTTAATTACAGCAGCAATATTTAGTATGTGAACAACAACAGGTACTTAACTTAATTACAGCAGCAATATTTAGTATGTGAACAACAACAGGTACTTAACTTAATTATAGCAGCAATATTTAGTATGTGAACAACAACAGGTACTTAACTTAATTACAGCAGCAATATTTAGTATGTGAACAACAACAGGTACTTAACTTAATTACAGCAGCAATATTTAGTATGTGAACAACAACAGTTCGGAAAAGCAAACCACGATCAATATTAATATGTCTTTCAAATAAGCGAAAGGTTGTAATATGACATATGTTATGATTAATTATGTCTACTAAAACTAATAAAGAGCACAGTGACTATCATGGCGCTTATCACACTGACTAGTGACTATGTCTCATTCAGAGCAAAATAAAGAGCAACCAGAAAGTTCCAGAGTTCAGACTTCGCATTTCCGCCAGTGGAGTGGAACTAATCGACAAACAGACCCACACATCCACTTGCAGCTACCACATCGAGGGTGCGTTAGTATTCCCAATTCTTAGTTTAAAGTGTCCTAGCGTATTAGTTTCTTAGTTCATTAAAGAACTGATGGTGGTGTTCCCCCTGTTTCCACAATTTTAAGAAAAATCCACCAAGATTCCCATAGCAATAATAGTAACCATAGCAACCAAGTAACTGTTCCACTCGCAGATATATCTTTCGTATCCCGGGATAAATCAAATCTGCTGGTGTTCAGTTTCATCAGCAGTGATAGAAAGCTGAGTATAAAGATGTGTCACGTCTTCAAAGCGCACACCAGGGTGAGATACTCAAATAGCCAGCCAGTCTTAATTGTAGTAGGATTATTTATACTAATCTTTACTACTACTACTACTATTACTATTGTAGGTTACAACCTACCAGGACGCGCGCCGAGTTGGACTCGTCGACGGTCCAATATATGGAACAGATATTTTACGAGTATCACCCGTTAACTATTACTATTACAAATAACTAACCTGTGTAACAACTTCTACCCTCAGAACCAAGCGTACGAGGCTTGTTCGACAATTGCACAATCGTTCGAAGTAGCTTTTCAGCTGAAACATGAAGGTAATGGGGTGCACTATGAGGAGAAGTCCTGATCATGAATTCAGTGTGTTTACCAACCAATCGGGGAGCTGTTTTCTAGTCACGTGACTCAGACTAACCAATCAGAGAGCTGTATTCTAACCCATCAGAAAAAATCAGCAAAGGTGGGCTCAATGTTGTGATTAACACGATCACCCCGCGGACCCATCAGAGGGAGGTCCCTACGATGGGGTAAATTAAATACAATAACAAAGGTTTTAGTTAAACGTTTTGTCGAAGTGTAAAATTCTCGAAAAGATTGTTCATTGCTTGATTTGAGAAACTGCAGGAAAAGTTCGCCATTTTTTAGTTTTTGTATGATGCCAGAATTTTATGTGTAAAAACTATTTTCACTGCTTAACAAGGTGCTTAAAACTTTTTTATGACATTTCTATTGATACTAAATGCTAAAAGACCCGTAGAACTAGAACGCAGAACGGGCTTCGGGGGTTTTGGAGATTAATTGATACACGTTGTATACCACTTTTCCAAGAAAAAGTGAATAGAGTTACATATTTGGTAAACTTCCCTCAGTCCATGGTCCAATCCTAACGAAAATTTTACAAAACCTTTGAACACTTAAAAGAAAACTTTTCGAAAAAGTTTGAGCATATTCAACAATCAAACATTATATTTATGTTATTGTATGATGGCCGAGGAGGGTCATTTTTAATTTTTTTAAACAATATGACGGAAATGGCTCTCCTCGGCCATGGCCGAGCAGTGCCAAAACAATATGACGGAAATGGCTCAATATGTTATTGCTCAAATTAGCTGCTTTTTTTGGCTCCAAAAGTCTCGCATCATTAATTATGGCACTGAGATCACGAAACTCACTAATCATTCCAAAAAAAAGTATGACAAATTTGGTATCGTGAAAAGCTCACATTCTCAATAAAAATTTAAAATCCGAGCACGTTTGATTTTTATCGTGCACATCCTACATTCCTACCGGAACGGACATTAACATTAATGACTAAAACGAACGTTAGAGCCTCTAGTTCACCTAACCATGTGCTTTCGCGCCACTGCCATGCTGGAAGCGGGCGCGCGCCACTGCAAGCGCAAGGGCTCTGGATATATAATAATAGAGCAAGGCCTCTAGCGTTATTCAAGGAACATAACGATTGCCCAGCATGATTAGCAATTAGCAAACCTCACTGGCTGGGCATGCACTAGAACTAGAAGTATTATCGCGTTTTCACAGCGAGTTAATGCGCGCCGCTTAAGTTTATTGCACGCGTGACACATTCAACTTCACGTGACACAATAAGGGCTTTTACTAATTCGCTCGCCCAAAAATTACCAATTCATGGTTTTTATTGTTTTGCAGCCGAACAATACGGTTTTACTTTTACATAACCCCGACCCTAATCCTAACCTCGAAGCTTGAAGCTATCCATAATGCATAACTCTAACAATCGAATTCTGAATTCGTGTTTTACTAGCCTGTCACGTGACCAAAACACAAAATGGTTTTTTGCCCATTATAACTATCCAGGGAAGCATTTTTTACTTTACGTCATGCATGGGGCCGGGGGTGATTCGGAATCAGCGTCCAAAAATACATCGAATTAAATTACTTTCATACCCTCATAGGGCCTTTTCACAAGCATTTTTAAAATTTGGGCGAGTGATATAGTGGGATCGAAGCGCACAATTTTTGTTGCGCGATGCATTACTGGGTCGCGCGCGCATCAAATAATGCTTCTCGCAACCACAGATCGTATGCAGATCGGCGAAATGCGAAGGATTGACATCGTGAATCAAACAATTTTGAGTTTGTCAAAGCGCAGGTTATATTTTGTATCTGGACGGGCGCAATTAGATTTTGACCGTTTTTTGTACATTTGTAAATGCTGATTTTGATTTTAATTAACGGGTGATACTCGTAAAACTAAAATATTTGTTTCAAATATTAGACGAGCGACGAGTCCAACTAGGCGTGCACTTTGGTTGGCTAAGTTATAAACCTTCAAGATTTTAATGATAAGTATAATTACAAATTAAAGTCAAGGTGCACAAATTTGTACTTCAAATCTTTATATTATCTTCACTATTATTTTAAAACCAGAACTAACTTTAATTTTAAATGCTTAAAGCATAAACAGCTCAAATATCGTTTTAAAAACTTGTCACGTGCGCGCATCTGACAAAAATGGTTATTTGCTCATAACTCGTCAAAAAATGATCTTCATGCTATTGGCTATGTAATATTTATTATTCGGAATTTAATTGACGATGTCAATTCATGGCAGCTCGGCACGGCACAGTAGCGCATTTCGCCGATCTAGCCAGGAGAAGCCTCATTGAGTGCGCGGCGCGGCACAGTAACGCATCGCGCTACAATTCGGAATCAGCATAAACGATGAAAATACATTGGTATAGCTTAATTTTACAGTCCCACTGCACAGCTTACTCGTCACTAATAAAACAGAACCGTATAAACATGTACACAGAACAGTCGAAATCTAATCTATAATCGCGCTCTATCGTATACGACTTCACTGAAATACAAATCTCCAAATTGCAAATTGCACGCATTTGTACAGTAACTTCTTTTACATTCTTACATATTTACATATTTACATATTTACTTAACTCGTCGACGTTCTTTTGATATTTGGAATAAATATTTTACGAGTATCTCAGTATCACTCGTTAATTTTTAATTTTGTAGCACAATGCACTACTGAACCGCGCCGCGCATCAAATAACGTATTTCTGATCTTGCAACCACAAAGATACACCATTGGGCCAGGCCGAGCTGCAAAGGATTGACATCGTGAATCAATCGTTGATTATAGTTTAAATTTTTAGTATGATGCACTACATCCAGTGCAGTATTGCTTTGTAGCGCGATGCACTACTGGGTCGCGCGCGCATCAAATAATGCTTCTCGGTAGATCGGCGAGACGCACCATTGTGCCTCACCGAGCTGCGAAGGATTGACATCGTGAATCAAAGTATTGCTAAAATGCTTCTGTAGCTCTCGATTGGCAAAATGCACCACTATAAGGCCACGCCGAGCTGTGAAGGATTGAAATTTGACATTGTCGATCAAAATTTAAATCATTACAATGTTTTTGTGAACATTTGTGATGATCTTATGTAGCATTATGTTTTGATTTTAAATATTTATAATTTACAATAAATGACCTGGATGATTGATACACAAAATTTAGAAGACCTGACATAAAAAGTCCAAGTTATTCTTTTGAGAGATGAGTTTGAAGGGTATATTTTATTGTAGTCCGTGTCACTGGGAATAGAAGGGCTGTTAATATTCTTTTAGTTATCTTGCAATGAGTGGAAAAAGTGTGATTCGTAGCAGCTCAAACATTAAACTTGACGGATGTTACTCGTCTAAATTTCTTCGAAGTAGCGCGCGCCGCTTTTTTCTCGAAATATTAGCAAGGCCCGATGGCAAGTGCTACGAAGTAGCGCGCGCCGGGCCAGACCATTAACAATGGTCAAAGTTCAAACCCAAATCGTATGACGAAAAATGATATCACATATCAATTTATGATTTAAATTAAACACTGTTCTCAAATGCAAAATCATACCTAGAATGAAATCGGTCGCTTGCTTTTACAATGTAAAATATTTGCTAACTTTGTGTACAAATTATGTAAGATTCTTTAACAACATGCTGTATGTCACAATCTTATTTGCTACCTGGATGTTTTATTCATGTTCAAAAATATATTCGATTTTGGCGCAGGTTAAATCTCCACAGAAAGCACATCCAATTTGATACATATGACATATGTTTATACTTTAACTTGCTTATTATATATACTCCGGCAAAAAAGAATTATTGTTTTTTTGAACGGGAAATCGTTTAGGACCACTTTCGAGGCACATAGACAAAAGCTACTCACACTGTTGTGCCTTTTACAGAGAAATTGGACAGTTGCGCTTTTGAGCTTGTTTTTATCTTTCGACAGTATTCCAAGTGATTTGTATAAGTGCATATATTGATTCTAAACACATTGCGAAAGATTCGATCTAGATTTATGAAGTTTAGAAGAAGTTACTGCAATGCGTGCAATTTCGGGAGTATGTGAAAATCAAGTTATTCATCATCAACTTTTTGCTCCTTTCATCTATTTTGACCAGCATCTGACCCCCTTCCACCCCCACCACTTAATAATAAACAGCACATACTGTTTTGTGATTGAAAGGTTGCAGAATGAACTTACTATCAATTACTGGGGTGAGCTAACGACCTCATTATCCAATGTAAGGTTTTGTTTGCCCCAAGGTCGACCCTAACGAATGTTCAACGAGAAAGCTTTATCGAGGATTAAGCGAGGGGAACGTTGGGGACTGCACTGGACTGGCCTACATGCAAAGTTACGCCTTTGACCCCTGTACCTCGTCAACCTTAGCAGAAGAATTGCAGAGTAATATTTACTAATCAGGCCAACTGACAATCGATTTATCCACATTTGTTACATTATTTCTTCTAGGAGATTCGTTTAAAAATGATACTAAATTAAGAATTCTTGTTTACTTTACATTTATTATTTTCTTGTTACCACAGGCACATTTAGAGGGAATTCCATAGATCTTCCAACTATAACATAGACATTGGACGTATGGTTTATTGGAACTCTTGCCTGTTCAGAACATAGTTGTACCCCTTTAAACTATTATACACTCTTCTATACTACAACAATCCGCCTTCAACTCTGTCTTTAAAATTATACTCTACTAGAAACTTCCTTTGTACACAAAGCATTCCTTTATTGTTTAGTTATCGTCCTCTTGCAAAACTAATATCTATTTCTAAGTTGTCTCCCTTTTTAATGTTCTGATTTAACAATGTCGACAGTGCTAATTATAAGTTTTACCTCAATTGTAGTGTAAACTTCAATTAGCACACAGTTTTTAACAGTTATTATATTGTTTAGTGAATGACTAGTCAATGTAGAAATGTGAGTTTGTAACAGAACGGTGATGAGACAGATTTTTCTGGGGCTTCTTTTGGGACTAGCCAATGCTGAGCTTGTACATGTATCCATTGGAGAAGAAGTAAGTGTTAAGTGAAATGATCAGTATAATGGTTTAGCTTTAGATCTATGTGTAGCAAATTAATCAAATTTCTAATTTTTAATGATCATTTCTATTGCACAATTTTAATGAAGATATTTTACCCCATTTTACACCTCTTCAGTTGCCCATCGGATCACTTGTTTCCAAACTCATGTTTCCTGGGGAGTACAGTCTGTATGATGTAAATGAACAATATTTTGCACTCAGTTTTGATGGTAAAATCACAACAAAGTCAAGAATTGACCGCGAGAGCGAGCCATTCAATGATCCAGAAAACCCTTATGAACTAAAAGTCAGACACGGTCAAACTCTAATTCAAGTCCTGATAAACGTTATAGACATCAATGATAACAAACCTTTGTTCAAAATTAAACAAGACACATTTGCTTTCAGAGAAAATGCTCAGATAGGTGATGAAAAAACACTGCCTGAGGCAATTGATATTGATTATGGCATTAATTCAACCCAAGGTTACCGTATTGTATCCGGCAACACTGACAACACCTTTGAGATAGTGTCATTTAAAGCTGGCAATCGCAAGTTCTACTATCTCCGACTGAAGCGGGGACTTGATCGTGAGCGCACCCCCAGCTTCACTATAACTATAGAGGCATACGATGGAGCCTACCCAGCCAAGAGGGACACACTTGAGGTTCAGATTATTGTAGAGGATGAGAACGATTGCAGCCCCGAGTTTAATCAGACTCATTATTACGCATCTGTCAGAGAGGATGCTAATATTGGATACAAGATACTCACTGTGAGTAGATTAAGACAGATATTACTAGAGAGTGAACTTTTTAATTAGCTTTTTATTGTCTGGTCAGGATATCATTAGTCTTTCACATGATTATCAAATTTATAAACATATTATCTGATATTTTCCATGATTAACTTCCCTGATAAGAGCATGTAGAAGCAGGCTGTTAAGCATATTAACATTTAGGTGAAAGCAACTGATGATGATAGCGGATCTAACTCCAAAATAGTCTACTCGATCGACAGAGACTTTTACACAGACAACAAGTTTATGATAAACAAGAAATCCGGGGACATCACTCTTCAGGTAAGCCCTTGTATTTAATAGTTTTTAATTATTTCACTTGTATTTAATTGTTTTACTTGTTATCTTGTAACACTCTAGAGGACTTGGCTTTCTAACCCGAACTAATACCTCTAGTACTGCTAGTTGACAATACTTTATTATATGACAAACTGTTTTCAGGGCCCGCTCGACTATGAACAAGAGAAGGAGATATTCCTGGCTGTAAAAGCTACAGATGAGGGTACACCTCCTAGAGAAACAAAGTGAGTTTGCTATTAAAAACTGACAAACTGACAAACTGACAAGTTATACTGAGACAAGTCATAAAGCTGGCCCTTAAGTTTCCCTAATTTATACACTTCTATGTGCACTTATTATTTGCGACATTGTCATACCATTTTCATGCTAGTTTTATCACTTATCCGCTCTGACATGGTGCCTGGTGAGTAGCACTTGTGCCTCCTGCTATCCGGCGGGTTATAAATACATTATCTTATTTCAAAATTCAGTTTAAAAACGAACCACAAAATTCGCAGCACATTTTGATATTGACAAATTACGCTTGCAACGTGAATAAAATACTGGACCTGTACTGTGTACTCAGTTAATATGACTTGTAACGGTTCAATAGAGGCGTGCACATTGAAATCTAACTTTAAGTACTATTATAGTGCTATACTACTAGTTCTGATTTCAATAGTAAGCTGTTATCAGTCTGATACAACAGTCACTACTTGTTTCATCTTGTTTTAACTTAATATCTTTAACACATCACTTGTTATTATGTTCTCTAATCACGTTGCTTAGTAGTGTTAATAAAGGATTGACACTTGTACACCTTTGTTTAACTTCACAGATAAGTCCTACAAATCTGAACTGTTAAAAAAAGTTAAATTAAAGATAATTAGTTTGTTAAAATATGTAATTATGAAAAGTACACGCAGTTATAAGAATAAGATCACTGAAATTAAGACTAAAACTAAAACTTAAACTGAACTAAAATTTATACGGAAACTGAAAACCTCAACCGTTACTACAAGTCTGACAGTGAGAATGGTGAATGGTTTAAATTATGTATGATATATAAATAATGTAAACAAAGTTTATCATATTCTCACAATATTTCATCTCACTTATATCTAGGAACTAACTCTCGTAAAAGTGTTAAAGTGATGACACTAAACGAGCAGTGTAATTATTGTACTACTTTACTCTTCTCACACTCCTAGCTTATTACTGTATAACAAGAGTAGTAACTATATACTAACCTGTATAACCATTCTCACTATACTTTTTACTGTTATTTATATATTAGTGAGAGAGGTGTAACCTTGTATTAAATAGTTAGTAATTTATACACCTATCGGAATTTAATTTCAATAGAGTTGAGACACAGTTAATAAACTGCGGAGTGACTAAAATGCTATACAGCAAAAACAGAACGCTCCAACCAAACACTCCACCTACTGATCCTAACCACCCTAACAACTCTCTAGCTCTCTCTCTTCAACCCTCATTCCCTCACTCCTCTTGGTGCACAAAACCATTCTAACCTATGTATGTCCCCCTGACGGGTTCCACAAGCCCAACGGTACATAGTTAGACGAAAAACAGAGAAGCCTTGATTGCCAGATCAAGGACTGCATCAGTAGCAGCGAAATACGGATATACCTTCTCCCTTACAGTCAGCGAGCTGACAACTATCTGACTGTGTCTTTTAGGCCTTGTCACACCACCTTCGCTATTGCATCCGCTCGCCCGTATTCACTGACACATGCCACACCTGGGTTTAGTATGAAGATGTACGCATATTCACCCAAGATGCGGAGATGCCTCAGTTTAGCGAGTTGAGATACAACAGCAAACTCACAGGAGCATGGATCAGAATCATCAGTTACCAACCTGACACCGTTTCGGGGCTTTAATCGCAATACGGTTTCCTGTCAGGCGCCCCAGCAGTCCACCCTTGAACCACCATCTGATCCGAGAGTCACTTGAGGAGACCCGTTAGAGCTCGCAATTGGCGACGAGATAACGTTTATGGTACCTCTAGATGTTATAGTGAACTCTCAAGCTCCAACCTTCCTGAACTCCCACTCCCTCTTTCTCGATAACAAGTAGATCCATCTGGAACAGTGGGCTGCCTCTTTCCCACTGTCCCGTACCAGCTTCTTCAGCTCTCTTCCCCTAAAACCAATCCTCCTCGCAGCTGTCTCCAAACTCTGCGCAACCACTCCCCTAGCTCCAACTTCGACTGCGGCATTATAACAGCACCAACCTTCCGCCTGAATCTCAGCCTGCAGACCGCTGTATCGGTCGAGCTTGTACTCGTGCGATTCAGCGATCCGCTCTTCAGATGGTACTGTTAGCTCCCACCAAATAACTGTCTTTGCCGACCTTGAGAATATCACAAGGTCCGGCCTCAGCCGTGTTTCCACAATCTCACTGGGAAACTTAAGCTGCCCCTCAAGGTCTGACAGCACTATCCAATCCCGATACCCACTCAGGATCCCAAAACCACGACTCTCCTTCCGGTCGTCTGAACCTGCTTTTCTTTTCCCAGCAGGAACAAAATCAATGAACTGCCTTCCATCGCCGGCCTTGTTCTTATAAGTGTTCACTCGGCGATCACAATGGAAGACAACCTGTTCAGAGATCTGCTTCAGAACCTTGTCGTGCCGCCATCTATACCTTCCTTGACTAAGGGCCACCTTACACCCAGCCAAAATGTGCTGAATGGTGCCCATCCTCTCCTCACATAACTTGCACTTCCCATCCTCATCTTCACTCCACTTGGAAACCATAGAGGGGGTTAAGAGGGTGCCGTACACAGCACTTAGCATGAACCCAATAAGTGAGTCACCATACTTAAAAAGTGTATGCCAGCTCAAATCCGTCTTCATTACGAGCTCTCTCCACTCACCCCACCTGCTCTGCATCTCCAGAGAACCTACTTGCACCTCCCTCTCTCTTTCAATGTTCTCCTTCACTCTCAGCATAACCTCCCTCTCTCTTTCCCGTTCATCCATCCTCTCCCAAGGTTTTTTCCAGTCACCAAAACCGATGCCAACTCTTTTTTGAGGTTGCACCATCCCTCGCACCGATTCACAGACCAAATCTCTTCTGGCCTCTTCCAGTTCTGTCTCAGGCCTCCAAACTCTACCAGAACGAACTTGGGGCTGGACTGCTTTAATCAGGTCATCCTTAGATGTCTGATAGGATTGCAACAGTCGACACTTCTCTATCTTCCATGTATCTGTCAAACTGCTCACCGGTAAGGCCACACTGGATGATTGACTGAACAGACAAAGACCACTCAGAGTGTGCCCCACCCCTAACCACTTCCTGAGGAAACTATTGGTATTCTGTTCCCATCTGGTAACTGTTGTGATCGGAATATCATAGATGGCAAGAGGCCACTTCAGTTTTGGAAGGACCATGTACTGATATCCCCAGCACTTCTGGAGTCCAGTAAGGGAACTTTCATCGAGTCTCCGAAGAAAAGTGTTAAGGTCGACCTTGGTTGAGTCGATGACTGATTTGTCATTTCCTTCCACTCTTATCCATCTCCCAAGGAATTTTATCGGCTTCTCTGACACATTCGGAATCACCTCACCACCCAACTGCAAACACACCTCTTCTCTCTCCACCTCCTCCTCTCCTACCACTACCTCCTCAACCCACCTCACAGCCACTCCCTTCTTCAACACCAGTGCTCTGGACTTGGAGGACTTTAACTTAAATCTGGACCAGTCCACGTACTTCTGAAACACATTGAGTAACGTTTGCATATCCTCTGCACGTGCGGTCGTCAGACAGCTATCGTCCATAAACAGCTTCAGAGTTGGTATCGGTGTGTCATCCTTGATGTACTCAATGCTTCTCGGAACCTTAGACTTTAGGTGTTCATGCCCAAGGTTCATGCACAAGACAAACAAGATGACTGATATCACACACCCCATGAAGATTCCTATCTCAAACTGCTGCCAGTCTGATGTCACCGTTCTTGAGGAGAACCTTCCGAATACCCCGGAGAAGTACCGTAGGATAATATTGATAACCTTCTCGGGGACGTTGTAGAAACGGAGGGCCCTGGCAATCAGAACATGGGGTACCGCTCCGTAAGCGTTAGCCAGGTCAAGCCATACCACACTCAGATCCTTCTTCTTGACCTTTGCCTCCTTCAGTACCTCCCACATGGCACCAAAATGCTCCGTGCACCCACGGACGCCTGGCACACCACCCTTCTGTATAGAGAGGTCTACATATCCATTCGAGACAACAAAGCTGGTCAACCTCTTCGCCAGGATCGCCAAATAAATCTTCCCTTGAATGTTACCCAGGGAAATAGGCCGTCCTGAACTTGGTGAAAAGTCGCCATCCGCCTTTGGGATGTAGACACCCTCGAAATACCTACAATTGTCAGGATATTCTTCTAACTTATATCCAGTTCTTAACAGGTCCCAGAGATTCTTGGCAATACCAGGACATCTCTTGTACACTGTGTACGGGATCCCGTTGTTACCCGGGGCACTCTTGCTCCTTGCCTTCTTTACAACCTCCTCAAACTCCTTCTTGGATACCGTTGTGAGGTCAAAGGCAACAGAGGGTTCAGGAGCACACTCAGGCAGACCCTCAAGTATACCAAGGGGCTGCTGCCGGGCTGGATCTCCGTACGTTCTGGCCAAGTGATCATCTAGCTCCTCCTTTGAACACTTAAGCTCCCCCACTGGACTTGGATTTAGCACTCCCTTGACTGTCTTGAAAGGGTCGCGTCCAAAATCCCCTCTAACTCTCCTTATCTCTCTCTGCTTCTGTCTCCTTTTCTCAGCCCTCCTCAACTTCATCAAACGACCAGCCAACACTCTCAATAATGCCTCATAACCATCCTTCTCTATCTCACTCCTTGCCTTCCTTTTCTTCCTCCTCAACTGCTTCCTCTTTTCAATCAGGCTGTCAATCTCCTCCTTTCGCCTGTTCTTAAAGCTCATGGACTTCTTTCCACTACCAGCACCTACTTCAACAATACCAAACAACTTGACACCCTCGTCGTACACTACATCACAATGACTCACCATCTTCTCTTGAAATGGTTTCCGCTTGAGAACCACTGCAAACTTCTCTACCACACACTCATCAAACTTACTCCATCGACCATCATTGGACGCCGGCCACTTCACCTTGTCTCTTTTGCAATAAAACTTAATTTATTATAATACGTAAGTATATAAGTTAAATTATATAAGTTAGTTTATTTTAATATGGTGTAATGTGAGTGTTAAGGAGTACCTAGTCTGCAGTTTGCTAATAATCCTCGTAATTACAGGGCTTTAACTTTTAATTTGTAAATAACGACCTCTGTCACAGACTTGTTTTACAAAGGAGCACTATCATGTTTCTTAGTGCTATCAAGTTTCTCTGTGCAGCTTGCATGGTTTACAATGTAGTAGCTGTACTGTACGCATTTTGTTAAACTCAACTTCATAAACGCTGTTTTTTATGTTTTGAAGAAATAACTTCACTTAAAATAAACACATCCTATTTACAGACTGTCCAGTACATAATAATATAATTGTATTTTCTCTCACTAAGTGCTTGTTGCACATTGTTTGTGGTATCAAGTACAAGGTTATACACATTTTATAACCCTTGTCAACAAGCTATCTTGTAGTCATTTGCTCGATTATATATATGCTCTTCTTATAGTTGTATACTTCTACTATCTTGTTGCATACTTTGATCTTGTTCGTTTTTATCGTTATTTTCCAGTTTTACCCTCTTATTATAACTAAGGTTGAAATGCTTTTGTTTGTAAGAAGCACGTTGTTTTACTATGTACTATGTTGGTAAGTCTTGGTAAATATTTAGAGCTGTTAATATTATAAAGTACCTAAAGTTAGTAAGTAATATTAAACATGATAGCATAATATTCAATATTCATCTTGTACACTGTACAGTACACTTCATGTTCAGTTGATTAAAGTAGACTATAATATATAGTAGATAATAGTATATGATTGTATTATATAATACTATTAACAGTGGGCGATATCATGATATATTTGTAGAGTAGATGTTTTTCTTGCTTTAGTGGTCGCAAAGTTCAATCACATTATTTCGACTTAGTTTGACAGACCACACTCAAAAACTAAATTTCCAATGAAATACTGAGTTTATTTTTGCTCAGTTAAAAAAGTAGTTCAAGTAGACGAAAATATATTTAAAATCAAACGATTAATAGTTTGAAGTTAAACCCTGTCTTATTTTGGTAGTTAATATCAAAATTAAGCTAAAAAACAAACATTTTGCAGGGTGTTTGTGAGTATAACAGTGATAGACGTTAACGATAACCAGCCTCAAATAGAGATTATCTACAAGTCCGCTTCTGATACCGGTTAGTTTTATGAAGGAGCATTGTTATGTTTGTTTACTAGCTACCATTTATAAATTCTTACGTAGCCAAAGTACCAAATAAACCGCTCCCTCCTAACTAAACCTTCCCTCCTAACTAAATCCACCCTTCCAAAATAAACCCATCCTAACACAAACCCCTCCTTACTAAACCCCTCCTAACTAAACCCCTCCTAACTAAACCCCTCTCCGCCCCACAGAAGCACAAGTAGACGAGGACGCGTCACCAGACTCACCAGTAGTTACAATAAGAGTGACTGATGATGATGACGGGGAGGCAGGCCGGGTTATTTGTGAGATGGACAGTGAGAATGGAATGGAGTACTTCAAGCTGGTACATAATGATGATGTCATCAATATGTGGTCAGTATAATTTATATACATTATACATTATACATTATACATTATACATTATCCATTTTACATTATACATTATACATTATACATTATACATTATACATTATACATTATACATTATACATAAGACTCAGCTGAATAATAGGAAACTCGATTGAGGGTTAATTGAGGAGGGGTAAGTGCTAAAAGATGAAGAGTACCCCTTCAGTAAATCTGCACTGTAGTGAGCTGTAAACATAGTAAACAGGGATTGGCTAGTTAGAGGCGGTCCGTGTAGGCCTTACACTGTGCTTTCAGCAATACTCATAGTACTATTACTATAAATTACTATAATTAATAATTACTATAAATTACTATAAATTACTATAAGTATTATAAGACGGTACACCAAACAGACAAAGAAACTTTAAATTTCCTGGAGATCAATCTCGGAAAGAAGAACATAGTACGTATTTCATTTAATCTGTAAACTATCCCCAATGTTTAATGTTATCTATAACCAGGTCTAAAGTAACTACCTCGTAATATCAGGAACGTGCGAGTAAAAAGACCACCAAGGAGGGATTTAGTGCAGGAGTTTACCTTGTCAATAACATGCAGAGATAACGGCAGTCCTGAGCAGAAAATATCTCATATGGACTTCAAGGTAAGTCCTGAACAGAGCAATGCCTTGACTTTAAACTAAGTTTTATTAACTTAATAAACTAAAATAATAACTTGATTAGTTAATTATCTGATTACTCTCTCCTACAGGTGAAGATAATGGATATAAACGACCACTACCCTCTGTTTGAGTCAGTATCGTACGAGATATCTATCCCTGAAAACACTTCACCCGGTACTGATATAATCAGTGTATCTGCTACTGACGCTGATGATGGGGACTTCGGGGACATCACTTACAAGATAGCGTAAGTAACAGAGCTACTAAGAGAGTTAAGGGGAGGGAGGGGCGCGGCCGGGGGGGGGGGGAGGGAGGGGTGCGGCCGGGGGGGGGGGGGGGGGGGGGGGAGGAGGGCCGGAGGGGTGCGGCTGGGGGGAAGGTTTGTGAATAACACAGTTTCACTGTGAGTCTACTTTGGAGGGTTTCAGAGATTTGTCAAGAACAAACCTTGGTACACACTAAACACCATTTCCTTCCTTCGCACGATGTATACTTATATAATTAAGTAGGCTTTAATATTTAAATGACATGGAATGGGAATAAGACCTCACTGAGTAAATGGTTTTCATGTGGACCAGAAAGAAGATTTCAATTCTTTTAGATTTTAATATTTTAGTTTATGTTTAGAATGTCTTGAAGCGCAGGTTGATGTCGCTAAACGGCCCAATTAATGTATAATTAAGGACACGTGCAGTAATATAACTAAAATAACCCCTGGTCACAACATCCTGCCCACTCCACAGACTGCACAAGTTTGGAAATCAATTAGTGGTTTCCTGATCTGCTTGTGCTGTCGTTGGTTCAATGTCACGTGATACAGTTTGTATGGTCACGTGACTACATATATGTAGTGTTTACAACTTGCAACTTAAACATGTTCGCTACAATGCGTTAAAAGACCTGTAATTCTTCAAAACAGAGCGTGTTTCAGTAGAACTCTCTTATTTAACCTAGCAAACATTTAATATAATATGTTTAACATATTTCGTAAACATTTCAGCGCCTCAAAATTGAGATAAATGTGGGTTATTTAGTAGAGTTGAGAAGAAAGCAGCAGTTTAGTGTTGTGTTGTGAGACAGTTAGTATCATATAATGAGAGGAATAATCAAGTCTGGCAGTACTGGGAACTTTATTAGAATGAGGGGATTTACATTAATTGTTATTACCATTTAAAATTAATAAAACTAGAATTAAAGATCACAGTAATTATATAATGAATGTTATTCATCTGCTACTATATTGATCTGGTATATATACCATATAATATATGTAATAATATTCGCATATTATTTGTAATAATATTGGCATATTATTTCAGGTCGGTTTCAGTACAGGACACAGGAGCAGATCCCATGACCTGGTTTAGTATAACTCCTAAAGGTGGGGTCATCAGGAACCTAGTTAAACTGGACAGAGAGAGAACACCTCATATCAACATGGTTCGTTATTATTCACAGTTATTTGAGGGATCCCTTACCTAATTATGTGCCCACATATTATTATCTTGTGATTTGCAGTAGTTTTATTTGTTCTTGCTGAAATTTTATAGTTGTGGCGTACACAGGTTAGTAGACAAATACAACCTTGTCAACTGTGTTAAGTCATTATATTAAAATATACTGAGCTATCTAGTTATAAATATAATGAAATTTATTTATTTCAATCAGTCAATTACCTAATTACCTAATTAACTTATAACCTGGTTAACTAATTAACTCCCTCTTACCAGATAATACAAGCACTAGACGGAGGCACGCCCCCTAACGGGCCCCACATAGCTACAGCTACAGTGACTATTAACCTGCTGGATGAGAATGATAACATTCCATTGTTTAGTCAGGACCTAGTTGAGACCAGTGTTAAGAATAACGTCGTGGTGAGTACTTAGCTTAGATATATCCAGTATAATTACTTAATCAGCGTATAATTATATTATTATCATGATTATTATTATGTGATTAGTATGATTTAAATCTGGTTTACATAATCATATTTTGATGTTGTTAATCTTCGACTTTTTAAAACAATATTTAAAATCACGGTAGAAAGAAGCTATGATTCAAGAAATATCACACTCCCCTCTTGTACTGTAAAACCCCTATCTACCCGGCTTCTTCCGTTCCCCAACTCCGCGAGAAATTGGGGTTTTACTGTATCCTACCGTTGCTCCCACCTTATATCTATTAAACCCCAGGTTAACCCCCATTAATCCCAGGGCCCAGGTTAAACCCAATTAACCCCAGGTTAACCCAGGTTAACCCCAGGATAACCCCCATTAACCCCAGGTTAACCCCCATTAACCCCAGGTTAACCCCCATTTAACCCCAGGATAACCCCATTAACCCCAGGATAACCCCCATTAACCCCAGGATAACCCCCATTAACCCCAGGATAACCCCCATTAACCCCAGGATAACCCCCATTAACCCCAGGTTAACCCCCATTAACCCCAGGATAACCCCATTAACCCCAGGATAACCCCCATTAACCCGAGGATAACCCCCATTAACTCCAGGTTAACCCCCATTAACCCCAGGATAACCCCATTAACCCCAGGTTGGATACGAGGTTACGCAGGTCCGAGCACGTGACTTTGACGACGGAATTTACGGAGCGGTTGAATATTCTCTAGACACAAATACCAACACAGTGAGACTATTCAAGATACACAGAACCACAGGGACTATAACTGTAGCTCTGCCTCTGCCTGATACTGACTATCAAGTTATCTCTCTAACCGTGCTCGCTACTGATGGAGGTTATTAACTAATTAAATAATTAACTAATTAACTAATTATAATACGGGGAGTGGGCACTATACTGTATAACTGTAGCTCTGCCTCTGCCTGATACTGACTATCAAGTTATCTCTCTAACTGTGCTCGCTACTGATGGAGGTTATTAACTAATTAAATAATTAACTAATTAACTAATTATAATACGGGGAGTGGGCACTATACTGTATAACTGTAGCTCTGCCTCTGCCTGATACCGACTATCAAGTTATCTCGCTAACTGTGCTCGCTACTGATGGAGGTTATTAACTAATTAACTTATTAACTAATTAACTAATTATAATACGGGGAGTGGGCACTATTATACTGTATAACTGTAGCTCTGCCTCTGCCTGATACTGACTATCAAGTTATCTCTCTAACTGTGCTCGCTACTGATGGAGGTTATTAACTAATTAAATAATTAACTAATTAACTAATTATAATACGGGGAGTGGGCACTATTATACTGTATAACTGTAGCTCTGCCTCTGCCTGATACTGACTATCAAGTTATCTCTCTAACTGTGCTCGCTACTGATGGAGGTTATTAACTAATTAAATAATTAACTAATTAACTAATTATAATACGGGGAGTGGGCACTATAACTGTAGCTCTGCCTCTGCCTGATACTGACTATCAAGTTATCTCTCTAACTGTGCTCGCTACTGATGGAGGTTATTAACTAATTAAATAATTAACTAATTAACTAATTATAATACGGGGAGTGGGCACTATTATACTGTATAACTGTAGCTCTGCCTCTGCCTGATACTGACTATCAAGTTATCTCTCTAACTGTGCTCGCTACTGATGGAGGTTATTAACTAATTAAATAATTAACTAATTAACTAATTATAATACGGGGAGTGGGCACTATTATACTGTATAACTGTAGCTCTGCCTCTGCCTGATACTGACTATCAAGTTATCTCTCTAACTGTGCTCGCTACTGATGGAGGTTATTAACTAATTAAATAATTAACTAATTAACTAATTATAATACGGGGAGTGGGCACTATACTGTATAACTGTAGCTCTGCCTCTGCCTGATACCGACTATCAAGTTATCTCTCTAACTGTGCTCGCTACTGATGGAGGTTATTAACTAATTAAATAATTAACTAATTAACTAATTATAATACGGGGAGTGGGCACTATAACTGTAGCTCTGCCTCTGCCTGATACTGACTATCAAGTTATCTCTCTAACTGTGCTCGCTACTGATGGAGGTTATTAACTAATTAAATAATTAACTAATTAACTAATTATAATACGGGGAGTGGGCACTATTATACTGTATAACTGTAGCTCTGCCTCTGCCTGATACCGACTATCAAGTTATCTCTCTAACTGTGCTCGCTACTGATGGAGGTTATTAACTAATTAAATAATTAACTAATTAACTAATTATAATACGGGGAGTGGGCACTATAACTGTAGCTCTGCCTCTGCCTGATACTGACTATCAAGTTATCTCTCTAACTGTGCTCGCTACTGATGGAGGTTATTAACTAATTAACTAATTAACTAATTAACTAATTATAATACGGGGAGTGGGCACTATAACTGTAGCTCTGCCTCTGCCTGATACTGACTATCAAGTTATCTCTCTAACTGTGCTCGCTACTGATGGAGGTTATTAACTAATTAACTAATTAACTAATTAACTAATTATAATACGGGGAGTGGGCACTATTATACTGTATAACTGTAGCTCTGCCTCTGCCTGATACTGACTATCAAGTTATCTCTCTAACTGTGCTCGCTACTGATGGAGGTTATTAACTAATTAACTAATTAACTAATTAACTAATTATAATACGGGGAGTGGGCACTATTATACTGTATAACTGTAGCTCTGCCTCTGCCTGATACTGACTATCAAGTTATCTCTCTAACTGTGCTCGCTACTGATGGAGGTTATTAACTAATTAAATAATTAACTAATTAACTAATTATAATACGGGGAGTGGGCACTATACTGTATAACTGTAGCTCTGCCTCTGCCTGATACTGACTATCAAGTTATCTCTCTAACTGTGCTCGCTACTGATGGAGGTTATTAACTAATTAACTAATTAACTAATTAACTAATTATAATACGGGGAGTGGGCACTATACTGTATTATAACTGTAGCTCTGCCTCTGCCTGATACTGACTATCAAGTTATCTCTCTAACTGTGCTCGCTACTGATGGAGGTTATTAACTAATTAAATAATTAACTAATTAACTAATTATAATACGGGGAGTGGGCACTATTATACTGTATAACTGTAGCTCTGCCTCTGCCTGATACTGACTATCAAGTTATCTCTCTAACTGTGCTCGCTACTGATGGAGGTTATTAACTAATTAAATAATTAACTAATTAACTAATTATAATACGGGGAGTGGGCACTATACTGTATAACTGTAGCTCTGCCTCTGCCTGATACTGACTATCAAGTTATATCTCTAACTGTGCTCGCTACTGATGGAGGTTATTAACTAATTAAATAATTAACTAATTAACTAATTATAATACGGGGAGTGGGCACTATTATACTGTATAACTGTAGCTCTGCCTCTGCCTGATACTGACTATCAAGTTATCTCTCTAACTGTGCTCGCTACTGATGGAGGTTATTAACTAATTAAATAATTAACTAATTAACTAATTATAATACGGGGAGTGGGCACTATTATACTGTATAACTGTAGCTCTGCCTCTGCCTGATACTGACTATCAAGTTATCTCGCTAACTGTGCTCGCTACTGATGGAGGTTATTTACTGATTAAATAATTAACTAATTAACTAATTATAATACGGGGAGTGGGCACTATTATACTGTATAACTGTAGCTCTGCCTCTGCCTGATACCGACTATCAAGTTATCTCTCTAACTGTGCTCGCTACTGATGGAGGTTATTAACTAATTAAATAATTAAATAATTAACTAATTATAATACGGGGAGTGGGCACTATTATACTGTATAACTGTAGCTCTGCCTCTGCCTGATACTGACTATCAAGTTATCTCTCTAACTGTGCTCGCTACTGATGGAGGTTATTAACTAATTAAATAATTAACTAATTAACTAATTATAATACGGGGAGTGGGCACTATTATACTGTATAACTGTAGCTCTGCCTCTGCCTGATACTGACTATCAAGTTATCTCGCTAACTGTGCTCGCTACTGATGGAGGTTATTTACTGATTAAATAATTAACTAATTAACTAATTATAATACGGGGAGTGGGCACTATTATACTGTATAACTGTAGCTCTGCCTCTGCCTGATACTGACTATCAAGTTATCTCTCTAACTGTGCTCGCTACTGATGGAGGTTATTAACTAATTAAATAATTAACTAATTAACTAATTATAATACGGGGAGTGGGCACTATACTGTATAACTGTAGCTCTGCCTCTGCCTGATACTGACTATCAAGTTATCTCTCTAACTGTGCTCGCTACTGATGGAGGTTATTAACTAATTAAATAATTAACTAATTAACTAATTATAATACGGGGAGTGGGCACTATTATACTGTATAACTGTAGCTCTGCCTGATACTGACTATCAAGTTATCTCTCTAACTGTGCTCGCTACTGATGGAGGTTATTAACTAATTAAATAATTAACTAATTAACTAATTATAATACGGGGAGTGGGCACTATTATACTGTATCCAGTGAAAGCAGGATTAATGAACGAATAGTGTGACATTGGGTTCTCAACCATGGAAATTTAGAAGTCCCTACATGCTGTTCTTTCTGGCTCCATGTGCTAGTTAGGGGTCTGAGGTATCCGAAAAATCATGTTTTGAGTACCCAAAGTGTTCTGGGTGCCAGGAATGAGGTTATTAAAGCGGCGAAAATGACCGATTTTGGACTATTTATGAGCTTTTTTGCCCATTTTCATGAGATAAAGAATCAGGAAAGCTGCTCTAGATGATTGAAATGGTTGATACCAATGAGGATACACCCAATACACATAAATATTCGTGATATATGTGATTTTAATGAGAAAAATATGATCTCAGGGCCCATTTTATACCAAAATTTGCCAAAACCACTCGCACTTGTCAAAGCTTCCTCATTTTAGACACATTTAATGATTATTATGGTATCTAACTTATGGTGGATCTGATAGGAGTATGTCTTAGCTTCATTTTAAGCCATCAATGAGCATGCTGGTGTGTATGAAAGTACTTTTATCCTTCCGTGGCCGTCCATTGATATAGTCTGGGCCATGCGCGCGCGCGCGCGCGCGCGCTTTTACAAACATGAATTTTCTCCCTCAGTATCTATCTAAATCTTTTAAAGACATGATTTGAATGCTATCCTACTCAGCACATGAGTGCTACAGGATGGTGAAAGAATTTCTATAAAAAATCGTTAAATGTGGAAGATATGAGGTTATTATATGTGTGCGCGCGCGCGCGCGCGCGCGCTTTTACAAACTTGATATCCTCAGTCCTTTCACATATACTGAGATTTTGTTTCAAACTTAATTGACTCTGAACCGAAATTGCCAAAGGAAACAGATAGTGTAACTCAGAAAGACCACAAATGTATAGTTTGTGAGATATTGAGGTTATACTCCAAATAATTTACAATGATGTCACACCAGAAAACCTTTATTTTTGGTATATTTAACCTCATATCTTGAACGCGCAGTACTGGATTGAGCTAAACTTGGTCAGGTTTTGTAGCCCTGACTATCCTCGATCATATGGAACAGGAATAAAACTGTTTAGATGTTCTATCTTAATTATATTAGGCACTTAGTTCTGAAAAGTGAGAATGTCATTAATACTGCTTTCACTGTATAACTGTAGCTCTGCCTCTGCCTGATACCGACTATCAAGTTATCTCTCTAACTGTGCTCGCTACTGATGGAGGTTATTAACTAATTAACTAATTAACTAATTAACTAATTATAATACGGGGAGTGGGCACTATACTGTATAACTGTAGCTCTGCCTCT